AGGCCTTACTCGGTAGAGGCTATTTGAGAATCTCGGTCGTAAGGGAGCACTTTACGAGGATGAGCAGCCACAACTCCAGGCAGCCAAGCTAGACCATAGTGAGGCTTCCGAAGGATGAACAAAATGGGAATCCTCACGGTACTGGAAAGTGTATATTGTTTGACGGCCTGAAGAGGTGGCAATAGCGTTCCTTTTCGTAGAGGACAACGTGGAGATACGATAAGCAGCAAAGATATATAATGTGAATAAAGAACAAAAGTTATAATTCAGTGTAGAACCCAGAAATGTCTCGTTGTCGTACTAGAAAGTAACAACGCCTCGAACTCCGACACGGGATTCGAAGATACCAGCTTACGCTAAATATGATAAAAGATAAATGATAAATCCTTGTGGTAGAAAAGCACACGAAGAAAGTTTTCCAAATGGGTGCCTAAGACACATAGGATGTGGGTTTACACAACTAACAGCTGACACTGCGGAGTAGGAACAGACTATAATCAGTGGTCTAAACAGAAGGCCTAGTGAGAATGCAGTATATGGAAGGACCGAAAAGTATAACAAAATTCGGTACGGTGTGATGAGGATGCTACTAAATGGGCATATACGCTTTAACAATATCGAATGGGGTCGCGAGGCAGTAAATCGAGCCAAATGAGAAAAAGGTGGGAGGATAACTAAAGTAGACCTTGGAGAAACATCAGAACCGAAAATGGATGGAGATAAAAGAATGGAATAATCACAGTTTTCGATAGTTTGTCTTAAAATGTTATTGAGCGAATGAAAGTTAAACAATCGAAAGGGATGCTGCCATAAACGATACGATAAGCGCGGTCAACGACAGCTTACATACTCGCTTTGAATACACTTTATAAATACGGATACTTAACAAACAACAGTGAGGCAAAATAACTCACTCTCTGATCATTGAATTTACGACGCTTTTCTTCTGGCTGTGATGTGCCTGCTGATCCAGTCACATTGGGGTTAAAAGAACCTTGAGTACCATGAGATAAACCAGTTTGCCCCGCGCTAATACTGCGACTGCCAGATCCACCTCCACTGCCAGTTGAAGCGCTCCGACTGGGCTGTGAGCCATGGGGGGCCGTGAGTGGTCCGGCATTTAAAGCCATATTTTCCGGCTCTGCTGCGCCCGGAATAGGAGGGAAGGAACCCGGAAATCCCGGAAAATCACCCACACCAGCACCAGCGGCTCCACCAAGAATTCCACTCAAAGGATTGGTAGGAGGCAAAAGCGATCCGTTCCCGGAGGAACGCCCACCGAATAGGAATGAACCAGCAGCGGCTGCGGCAGCAGCAGCAGCAGTTCGCTGGTCAAGAAAAATTGAAAAGTATACCCGATAGTGATACAAACCATTAATAATTGTAGCGCAAAAAGCAATGTTAAAAATCATCAGACACAGCTGGTAGGCGCACGCATACAAAGTCGATTGAAAGTAACAGAAGGAACGTGGTCATGTGTGCCATAAAACTGTCACGGATGACTTGGTTAGTTCTTGATAAATAGTCCAACGCATATTAATTCACCAAGTGGTTCTTTGACTGCTAGCTAACCGAATAACTGACCAAAAACAACTCAGCTGACATACCTAAATAGCGGTTCTCCATTCGTTTACCATTCTAAAGTTTAAAGGTAGCGGTTGGACGAAGTTCAGTCTCCTGGTCTTCCAGGTTGGGGGTTCGACTAGAATTTGCGTTTCATTCGGTTAAAAATGGCGGAGTAATTGATCCAACTGAATGGGTCTCCACTTCGCTTCACACGCTGCCTTGCGGTTGGGTTCTTGTTAGAGCTAAAGGCTTCGGTTGAGAACCCTAATCGTTCTCCTGCTTAGCGTCTGGACACCCTAGCAGTACCCATCCATCAAATCCCAGTGCATTTGCATTACGAGTTTGGCAGCGATCAGTGAAGTTTGCCTTACTGTATTTCGCTGTACGATGATGACGATCAAAGTTTAAGAAACTCTAAAACCTTTTTTAATCCATAGAGATAAGCTGAGCTGAAGGGGAGTGATTTTTTTTATTACACCCAAATGTGATGAACAGCAGACGGGGCGAGCCTCATTGTCACGAGGACTTGCTGTTTCGTGGAGGAAACCAATAAGCCAAGCCCCAGGACTTGGAGTGGCGAGCCACATAAGACACTGATAGGTTTGGCGTGGTACGGAACCGGACGAGAAAAAGGCCGCCTACCACCAAAGTCGGGTGACGGTGGTGGGACTCGAACCTCGGATCACAGGGTTCAAAACACGCCGGTGGCAACGACTAAACTATTGCGCCACCACCAACTGTGAAATCAATCTTTGAAAACTTCCTGTTCTAACTCTAAGACCGCCAACCTCTTAAATCAGAAATCAATGAGATCAGCCAGAAATTTGTACTCAAAGACATGCAGCTGCGCCCCACTTCAAGGGAAACCTTGTTTGGTTTCGAGCGTTCTGAAAAATTGTGCAATAGCCAATATTGGAATATTCCAAGGCAGAGGTAACCAATAGTCACATTGAGGACTCAAATAACTGCGCGTGCACTCCAGCACATTCCACGAATTTTCTGGTTTGTTATTGGTTGATTTCGATTTCGCATGAAAACAGACCGATTTTTAGGAAGAGTTTTACTTTCCTGACAGGGATTGCACTGAATCTATGGTTAGAACATTCAAATGACGCTTATTTATTGTGGATGGGCAGATTGTATTGAGTACATCAAGTATTAATGTGAGCAGTTAGAATCAAAGTATGACAATAAAGGGTTGTGCTAATTGTTGAAATTACGATGCCAGCCCTTTGATTGGCCGCTCCCACCTTCCTAAAAATTGTCATTTTTTTCAATTCAAGTAAAAAAAGATTCAATTTATCCTTATATAGGTCGAACAGTTTGCAGTTTATTTCTATTCATTTAGCATTGCACTCTAATGTAAACAGTGGAAGCAGTGGTCCTTATAGTCACAAAGACCCACTGTTCTATTACCTAACCCCGAGATTATTAGGCGCCTCAAAGGGATAGGCGTGGTATTAGGCCGGACGACAGCGAACCTGCGTACCAACAAAACTAGACGATCGTGTCAAAATTTGAACCTCAAACTTAAGGGCCGGCAGGACACCATTCATGACTCAAGCGGTCAGTCCACTATTAGATGTGCCACGGCGTAACCGAAAAGCGATGTACCATGGGTTAACCCAGACTGGTGAATCAATCTAAAAGCTTGAAACCAGAAAAGCCCAGCAAAAAGGAGCTTTCAAACTCAGTCAGACAACGAAATTTACTATCGTTAATCACCCTTTTTTACGCCAACTGAGTAGATAGTGTACCACGCTTGGCACTAGAAAACCCAAATTTCGGTGAATCGCAAAACGCTTCTAACCAAACATCATGTCAGTTTCAGTTTAGTTTTCATAGCCATTCAACATGCGCCTTTTTGCGCCAGTTTTGGTTGCAGTCTCATCACCATAGTCATCATCGTACAGCGTAATAGAGTGAATCCCACTTGGATAAAGGACTAAGGGGAAGACTGAAATGTTGAAATCAGTTTCAGAGTGGAAATATCTTTTTATTGGACATACAAAGATACAGGTTTCAGGAAGGGGGAAGGGGCCAATCTGAGGGCTGCCATTCAACACAATGGGGAAAGTCAGGCGGTGGTGGTGGTGTGATTTGAACACGTCCCCGGGGAGACAATTTGGTGACGTTACCAGCAGGCCACCACCGACTTAGGTTACCAGAATAATGAGTGGTGTGCGAGTGCCACTGTTTACGACGCTCAGCGTTACATTCTACCCTACAGCGAAACATAGCAGGAAACTAGAATACACGCACTAGATCCAGATGAATACATTGGTCACATTAAAGTAAGTTTTGGTNNNGTTTTGGTCTCTTTAGGCGATTTGACAACAGTAAACATCTCGTCTTTTTCTATCCCACTGACTGGGGGTCGGCAACAAAAGATTTCTGCACACCAAAAGGAATTACTATTTCCATTATTCTACCGATTGCCAAAAAGCACCTAGCTAACTACATGCAGGTGCTTTTCCACAGGGTCATGTTAAACTATAAGGCTGAGGGTCAATAACAGTTGATCAGGCTTGTGTGCGAGTTTTAAAGCTCATCGAAGAAACCCTCAGAATACTAGATCGCTGAACAGAATCAATGTTACATTCCTCGAGCCCATCAGAAACAAGAGCTCAGTCTGTTGTCACTGCTGTATCACTGTTGTATCATTGCATATTCAATAAAAGGAAGTAAAAATGAAAGAATATATATCACACGTTTGGGTGCAGACTGTGCCAAACAAATCACAGTATACTGACTGCATAGAAAAATGTTAGATGATTACCATTGCTACCGACCTGACTCTAACCAGGGGCGTAAGAGTCAATGGATGCCCAACGGACAAGTTTAAAATGATTAGTTGCATGAACCGTTCTGACACACTGCATTTCTGGAAATCATGGATAATTTCTACGAAACCTTTCATATTGCCCCAAATTGCCAGAATAGCACTGTCAAGGTCATTTGACTGGGGAATAACTCGTAAAAACACCTTAAAACAGGTCTACACTTAGTAGAGTACTCTATATAGATTAAAGAAGAAACAAGGGTTCAGTCATATTTTGTCCTTGCTTCTTTTTCAGTATCAGTTCCTGCAACCAATAACCTTGTCCTTATGTGAGCTAACTTGATTCTTATCCGGCGGCTACCAATTTGGTCGAACAGTGAGAGTGAATGGAACAACTTGAAAACTGAGAGTAGTATCAAGGTGAAGATATTTATTTTTCACGCATGTCTGAGTTCAAACTGTGCCAAATGAATGCATGTACACTAAATGCGTGAAGTGGGTATTTGTATACACCGGTGTACTACGAAGTTCGCAATTTCCCCCCAGCCAAACCGCTGGAGAGGATTTTATACATTTTTCTGTGGTCGGCTTTAAGTCGAATTTCACATTATTTGTTGACCCCTGTGGTACAGACCATTCTAAATCAAGAGTGCATGAGACATGAATAACACTGTTATGTAGGTGCACTAAGAGATGTCTATTGAGGCTAATCCATCACGACGAGACTGCACCTTGACGTGGTGTGATGGCTTGCGCGCCTCAGTGAC